GTTCTGAAACCTTTAAGATCTCAAGGCCACGTAGCACAAGTATGACAAGAAGAATAGAGTTCAAGGCATGATGGTGTCTGGTAAATAGTTACTTTTAAGAGGGATAAAGTTCTTAGCTTCTAAAAAAAGGAATATCAAGCAAAGAAATTTAGCATAACAGATTTACCTGATGTTCAACTAATCCTAAAACTTAAACAAAAGAATGAATCCCGAGTCATCTTCTTCTTTGGCGTTCTGAATCTAGCAGATTTTGGGAAACTCCCAATTTGACGAATCTTAGTTGAGTGGTAAGAGGTCTGGTAAAGAGCAAGCCGCGGGTTAGGAGTCATCTTGCAGCTTATTAACATTGATCATCTTTTGGGTCTTTGAAAAGAGAAATAAAAGCAACTTTTGATGATCCTTTTCTCCCTCATGGAATAACTTGAGGATCATCAGTTCAGGGCTTTTTTCCTTGAGGACCATTCTATCAGTAATGAGGCCAATATTGTTGACCTCATAGATCTTTTCTCCTTTCACTATTTTGTAAATTGTGCTACATAGGTGCGGCAGTCCCTTGATACCTTTCAAGGGACCTTCTTTTCCTTCTCAGAAAGTAATTCTAAGCTCACAAAACTATTTACTTTCCCCAATTGCCACAAGCAAAGTAGCTAGCTTTAAAAACAAACTCAAAAATTCATCTACTTACAGGAAATTTATTATAGTAGTTGCTTTTCTAGTTGCCGTTAATGCTCAAGTATAAAAAATAACATTTGACCATGCCCCATGGTCTCATGAATTTAACCTGTCTTACAAGGAGTACAACACTTTGACTTGCACAAATATTCCCCAGTAATAAATTCATCCCATAGGTTATCATCCATTAATTTATCAGAAGGGGGTGCCGTATCATGCTCCCAATACTTACTGGGATGGCCTTCAAGAGACTAATCATGATAAGTAACAAACCCAAGCACAAAATTAATGAGATTACCCTGATTTTCTTTGGTGTTGAAAAGGAAGAAAGGCATTCAGGAACAAATGATTGTGGCTATTTCTTTTTTGAGAAATAGGACTTGCATTTCGGTATAGGTGCACACCAAGCCATAGCTATTAGCAAGATAACAGGCAATTCCTAAATGCAATAAACATAGTGTCATTTGATAATAATTCTATTACCTCATTTCCATCAGCACAGTAGCCCCTGAGAAATGCTTCACAAGCAGGGGCATTTGGATTCACATGCACATGCCTATAAGGACAATTTGTGTTGGTGCATAAACCTGCAAAGCAACCTGTTTAAGAGTTTTGTTTCTTTTAAATAGGTCACAAGAAGCATTATATTGCAAACTTCACCTTGCAAAAAATAAGAACAATCTGGCATTCTCTCTGGAATGACCTGCACAATAACATAATAACACATCATCCAAGCAAGCCACCCAATTTTAGCAAATACCAAATCAATTTCCATTAACACGATTTCACCCGAACCTTATGAGTCAACTTGCAATTTGAATTGGAACATAGACCATTCAAAAACTTTGTGCAGACTGCAATTTTGGAAGGATCATGAATATATGGGCACTTTCCATCATCTTTGTTGCATTCGCCAAATCTGGTGAAGAACTGACAGTATTTCCGCTTTTTAGCCAGTCGTAATCTGGCAGTGTGCAAGCTCCACCGAATTTTCTCACTTGCCAAAACACGAGCTCGTTTCTTTGGGTCTCTAATAAGCTGGTTACCATTGCCAATTCGAACATACCTGCCAAAAATGGAATTCATCCAATTTCTGTAATATATACGTTGAAGCACCACATTTCAAAAAATGTTTATATCAGCTGCAATGAGTTTCGGGTATTTGATAAGGTATCTAAGTAGGACAACAGAAACGTACTCATCATTGCCAATTACTAATCTTCTAGGAACATACGGTTTCTTGGCCTCATCTTCTAACAGGAAACCAGCAGAGCATGATGACGATTCATCTAAACCAAACATAAAAGAAATAGTAATTTAGGAACAAACTCACCATCAACATTTACATAAAAACAAAATAAATTATCAATTGCAATTGCCCAGAAAAAAATAAAAAAGCAAAAAGAAAATATTTCAAAATTGAAAAATCAAGCCTAAGGCCATCAATCTGAATCACCAAATCTGAGGACGACTGATCCACTTAAGTAACAATCGGGTAAAATTTCCAACATGCAGAGCAACTGTAATAGAATCTATACCACCAACTATAAACAGCCACATTTGGTCTTCCCTACTCCGCACCATTTGAAGCCATAATTCTGAAGGGAAGACCACTAATAGGAAAGTTAAATGATAAATGATTCAAAACTATTAACAACTAGACTATCACTCCAAGTAACAAATGATTCCCCCAATTGCAGTTAGCATCAGAGACACAATGGAATTTAGCTGTCAAGAGTAATTCCTAAAAAGCAAATGTTTTAAGAGATAGTGAACCAAATGAGGATCAATAAAACCAGCACAATACCACGTGACATGTGTTCCACACACCCAACTTGACTGCTCCTAAAAGAACAACCAAGAGAACAAAATTCTCAAGTAACAATCAAATGTTACTAAATGATCCGATTGGATCTTCTTACTGACAAACCTACTCCCACTTCTCGCATTCTAAAGCTTTTGATACTGCATTCTATCAAAGCCAAAGGAGAAAAGAAAAAGGTTTCAAATGCAGGTGCCATCTAACATGATTATTAGTTAATCATTCAAGAGAGATATGCAGCAGTGTCTAAAGAATTAGCCTTCATCAGGATCTTTCTTTTTTTATTTACAGAATCCATCATCAGGATCCTTCCTAGAATTTAGAGGTTACCATCTTATTATTCACTGAAAGAGTTGCCAACAAAAATGGAAGTAAACCTAGACATAACAAAACTCAGAATTTTCTATCTTATATATATTATTATTGAAGTAATGCTCCTAAAAGAAGAAAAAGAAGAAGGACGAGTTCAAATTTCCTTAATACTTTTCATGCACAGTAAGAAATCAAGAGCAAAATACCTGGGATCCTCTGAAGGGTTCGCTTTGAAGAATCCATTCTGTAACGAATTGAACCAATGCGGAATATACGTTCACCTGAAAAAGGTATCAAATATCTTCAGCATCACTCAGATGAAGCACAGCCATCAAATGAAATCACAAAACAAAGATTCACAAAGAATGCTGGCATCACAGCCCAATAAAAAGCATTATTATAGCCAACAAATGTTATCCATCTACTACCGAGATCACTGATTCTCTACCTAGGCACAATTATGTACTAAGGGACTTACGTGAGGAATGACTTCTCTTTTTTGTCCCAGAAACAGCAGATCTAGTGCCATGTCGTTCTCTTTTTTTCTTCTCTACTGCAGCAATTGCCAGTGTAGCCTCCTGTGTATGCAATAATAGAACTCAATAACTGGTATGACTAGGATAGAGAGCATGATTTGTTCATTGATGTGTACTAGAGTATAACCTCATTAGCTTTCTTTGAGTCCCTCTCAATGGATCTCGACCATTTTAAATTAGATCCACCAACACTTAAAACCTTGGATTTTCGAAGTGAAAACCCATGAGTTGACCTAGTGTAAACAGTGTCTCTCTTTCGCAACAGCAATAATTTTTTACTGAAAAAAGAGTACCTCATTGTCAAGTAAATTCCATATAGCAAAAGGCAGGTGCAGGAATTAAAACAAAATTCAAATGCCAATATACCTGATCGTAGATAGAGAGTTATTTCTAGAAACAAAAGCCGAGTACGGAGTAAAACTTCTCCAATATGTTGCTCTTTTCCAGGGAAACAAATGAGGCAAGACCTTCTGACGCTTCAATGAATTACCATAACTTTTTGATATATCTGCACCATGCAGTGTCCACACCAGAGAGAATTTTGAACGCTTCATAGGCTTTACAACAGCTGCAAAATAAAAATCTCTCAGAAGGGCAGCTCTCAAAAGACAAGATAGTTTGAGTTCTGGTCTATCTCCCAATAAATCTGAGGAGAACAATATTTTTTTAGATTTCAAAGGGTGTAAAGGGACAACCAGCGTAGCTAATTCTCCTTGGATATGGCCAGAAAAGTTCCACAAACTAAAAAAGTTCAGTTCAAGATAAGATACTACCCTTAGGGCAAGCCAAGAGATACAAGCAGAAGAATTCCCTCCACAACAGATGGAAACAAGGGACAAATACCTAATACAGGTTCGAAACCTGTGACCTGCCTGTGGAAGAAGGAAGGAATCCTTACCACTGGGCTTAACATCATGGTTATGAGAAGAAGAATGCTTTGAAATAAACAAATTGGTATTGCATTAATTATTGCGGGTTTCATCTACAGCAACATAGACCTTCCAAATACATGCAGAGCACCACACTAAAGAATTATGGCAGGAGCAGAATCAATAGTTGCTACGATATAATAATTTAAAACAAGTCTAATTGCTTAACAAATAGTTTTCAAACCAGAATTCTGACATAAACCAGTTAATAACTATAATTTAGTCAGTTAATTCAAAACAAAAAAAAAGGGAATCAGCTTTGACATCTTTCTGAATCTCAGACCAGGCAAAAAGAATCATCAGACTATGAAAAAATATAATAAGCAATGACAGAATACATGATACATGATGGACCATAGGCAATTTATCTAGGTTATCTTTATTTTTTCTAGTTTATTTATGTTTTACTTTTCCTAATCTTATTAGCATCAGTTTCCTATTTTATTAAATTTCTTAATCTTACAAGTTTAAAATATTTCCTAGTCTATTCGGAAAAGACTTAGCTAACACGCTACAGATACATATACAACCTCTTGGAGATTATTATTCAATTATTCAAAAAAATATTTCGAGAATTTCTAAATACTCAATTATGTGATTCAATCAACTCTTATATGTGATACCTAAAAACCTTAGATGTGATATCTAGGTTTCCACACACACACCCCCTCCTCCCTCCCCCTTCCCCCACGAGAACAAATCAATTTTATTTGTCCTATATCAATACTTGAAGAACTGAGCTGGGGGATGAAGCAAAATACACGAGAGTACATTTTACCACCAATATTTAGAACTAAATAACAATGAGGTCTACAGTAAAATATAACATGGGAGTGGCTATAAAGATGAGGTCTTGTGTGATGTCTTGCCTATGGAATAGCATAGGGAAAACCCCTAGCAGTCTCTTGAAAAGAATAAAAAATAATAAGACTAGAACTAGTAAGATATAAATACTCATGTAGTCTCAAACCTTCACATTTATCAATACAGATCAGAACTATTCAAGAGAAGAATTCTCTTATCTACTTTGCTGGGAAACCAGAAGTTTAATACAATTGCTGGATTTTTCTATCCATAAACCAATCTACCAAATAATATTATCTCTACCTATATCACAGAAAGCACAAATAAAGAGGCCAACAGAAATAAAAAAATCTATCCATTACCAGCAAGCCTTCAATAACATACCCGCCTGTAATATCTGTTTGGTCACTTTCACTGCAAGATGATGCAGGTAAATGCATAGTGCTATAGAATAATAAAAATAGTACTGAGGTTCAGTTCAAGAGTAAACCTTTATGAGATAGCCTCACGCTGAAGCTTTTGTCAGAAATAGGCCTAGGAACTGTTTGCCCTTCAATGATGGCAGGACTATCAGGTGAAGAGATTGCCTGGTTGACGTGATTATCTACTGAAGTTCTAATAAGCTGATTTTTTCTCCTCTTGTAGTAGCTATCAGACAAAAAGGGCTGGGTCTTATCAGCAGTTTGAACATTCGAAGTTGCAACCAACTGATTAGATTTACGCTTGACATAGGTTACTCTCTTCACATGTGATGGAGCCAAGTTCACATCATTCAGTTCATTCAAGCACTCATTATTAACTGAAGTAGCTTCATTTAAAGGAATTTCAGAAACTCTCAATCCTTTATCATAGGAGTTTGACACATCAGTTTCTGCAGATTTAATAAGATCAGGAACAGTGTCACAGCAGCCAGTAGCTAGAGTCTCGGTAAATGGTGAGGATACAAAATCCCTCAAAGAACCAGTAGCATGATTTGGAATTTTGGTGATACTGGGTAAAGGAGGTGTTCTGGGCCTCTCCAATGGAGCACTAACTCCTGCTTTTAAAACAGTTGGAGGAGCTGTAAAATCAGTCTTACCATCACATTTTACACCTTTGACTTCATCTACACCCAAAGAGTTCAAGTGATAAACAGATGGACTCAAAACATGAGAAGTAGCAGGAGCAGCACTTGGAGATGCTTTTCTAAGAAGACTGTTACCCTTACGAATGTAAGTACTTGAAGACTCTGAGATTTTTTTTAGCAACTGCCCTTGCAGAGGAACAGTACTTGACAAAGTTTTGTTTCCTGGGGTAACAGATACAGAAGCACTACCAGTGCGATGCCATGTTCGTCGCTTTGTGATTCGGGCTGATGAGGTTACATTTTTTGTGGCAGTAAAAGCTGCAGATGAACAAGCAGGATAACTTTTTCTGAAAGCAGGATTAAGATCATTTTTCCTCTCATGTGTTTCGCCATTCACCAAGTGAAGATTTTGGGTGGTACACTTGGGATCTGTTGTTGGCAATCCTCCTTCTTTACTAGTACGTGGGTGATCTTCCCTCACTGAATGATCTTTACTAATGCCAGTACACGGCGAACATGATATAGAGTTAACTACAGTAGACCCATCATCACAGGCAGACTTCCCATTCAAATATTTTTTACCCTCAAACGCATTTTCAAGAAATGCTTGCCCATCCACATAAGATTGCGTATCAGCTGCAAACTCCATGGGTATATCAATGGGCCTGTCAGCAAATATAGGAAGGTAATTGAACACAGAGGATCTCGAACCTAAATCAGGAGATCGACGTTCTGAAGGAATTTGGCACTGAGCAGTGTTGGCCCAAATCGAAACTTGCAGTTCTGGAGCATCTATATCCATCCTTTCCCTCTCGCTACTTTCCATGTCCAGAATCTTATTTTGACAACATTTTCCAGCCTTAGTCAGTGTTGCATTACTTATCTGCTCACCGTGCAATCCTGATTCACAAAGATATAATTCACATGGAATTGGCAAGTTTCCAGAAGCGGAACAAGAATTAACCCTTGGAAGATGGTGTTTTTGACCATCATCCAAAAAGGCATCTCTAACTGAGTCCACAGTCTGAGAGGATCCTCCTACTGTACTAGTTTCAAGCATCACAGAAGTTCCCTCTGAAGAAGGCAGCAAATCTGAAGAGGTTATCTCATTAGATAGCATAACTTCCTCTTGCAGACAATACTTAGAATTAGAGGCCAATTCAATAATAGATTTGCAAAAGTCTGCAACTAAAACCCTCTCATTAGTCAAGGATGCTGTTGGACTAGACGATCCCTCAAAAGTCACTTGGCTTTTCATCCCTTCTTCTCTCTCTAAAGAGGTCACACTTGATCCAACGTTAGAAAGACTGCAGATGGAAACCTCATTACCCGAAGTTCCATCCATTAAGCTGGAACAATGCAAAGCATCGACTCCACCAGCACGTGATTGAAGGCTAACATGTACACGACCCTTTTCGATATCTGTACCTTCAGCAGGTCTAAAATTTTTATGACATAAATTTAAGGTTGTATCCGGAGGATGAAAGCTATCTACATCTATGGACCCCAAACACATGCCATTTGTTACTGAACCTGACAAATCTACCTGATAAGTCAAAACTTCTCCCTTGTTACAAATGTTAGGCTTATCTTCATCATTGCCTTGTATTGACATTATTGCATCTGGAGGTCCTTTTGCCAAACCATTCTTTGGTGATGTTGTGACTGCATCACAATGTGCCTGTCCACAAGTAGTACTGCCCAATACATGGTTGACTTCCTTTGCATCAATTAAACTGCTGTCTGAATCTGTGAAGGCATCTCTGCTATTGTTGCAGGATTTTGCATGCGAG